GTATGCAAAAAATGAGAACCTATTAGTGAAAGGTTGCTAATAAGCAGTAGCTTCTCTAATGCTGTTCTTCCAAAAAATATTAGAACTCGAAATATGAAACCTCTTCAAATCTGCTTTTCTTCCCTTAAATTTTCATAATTCGGGAACTCTTAAAGCCGAAAGCCTTTTCGATTCTGTTGAAATCCATTTGTACGAGTTAATCGTAGATTTAGGGAAATATCAATGAAACAGAGAACAACAGTGTATAAAACAATGGCAAGCGAAAGGTTAATAGTCGATGACGACGTGTCGTTGGCATCGAAAGAGCTCTCCCATCGTCTAACCGACACGACCGCCATTTTTCGGCGTCGGTACCGAGTGCTCGGCCGAAATCTCGATCGGATTATCTCCGTTTAATCGCCGCTTTTGTTTGCCGCTCGGGCGGGAGGTGGTTTCGCCCGATAAAAATCTAAATACGTCGCTCGTTAATGAAATTCCTTTGGCCGGCGCGTTCCCGAGGGAACGAAAGCGGGGCCGCGCGCAAAGGGAATATAAAGAACGAAAAATTAAGAAGCCAGTGCCAAACGGAATATAAGAAATAAAATATAGAGAGGTGAACGTCGAATGAAATATAAAAGACAAAATACAGAGAGGTCGATGTCAAAGGAAATATAAAAAACAAAATATAGAGAAGTCAACGTCAAAGGAAATATAAGAAACAAAATACAGGGAAGTCAACGTCAAAAGATACAGAAAAGACAAAAAAAATGAAGGAGTTTATGTCGAGAGAAATATAAAAAATGAAATACGGAGGATTTAAAGCCGAAGAAATACTGAAAGAAAAAAGCAAAGTCGCGAAGACAGTTGACGAGGGAATCATGGCTCGCCATTGATCGATGGTACGTATTTTATCGTCGAGCTAATGAAAACGTTAACGTGAGATGTAAAATTGTGATTAATTCATATTTCCTGATCGGTCGCCCATAAAAATACGCATAAAACTAAAGTTAATTGAACTATCTACTAATGTTGCGCAACGTACTCCGTAACCTGTCGAAGGTATTAATTGCCTATTAAAATTGTTTCCATTCGACGTGCTTATACATTCTTCCGAATTCCGAGCGTGAAATTTGAATAATTCAAACAGAATAGAGTTTCAATTAAGCGGGCCGCTATTTTCCGCGATCCGGGACGTCCAAAGTCTCGATTGAATTGCGACCTAATAACTTAGATTCTTAGACGGTAATTTGAAATGTACACGATGGAATTTAATAAATGTATCTTCTAAAATGTCTTCTGTTCTTCTATGAACTGTCATTCGTTCAATCGAATCGGACGATAACGGTTTCGCTGTATACTCCGATCGAATATTTAACGAAAGAGATTCAATTCTACGTTCAGCTTCCAATTTCTCGCGGTGATTCGTGGAACGCGCGAAACCGTGACGAAACGTCGGAATCCGATGATTTCGATCGTTCCGAATGATTCGACCGCGATTCAAGATCGTTGGGGTCGAAAAGCGACGCAGACCCACGCGCCTTTCGCCGAGAAAGTCCGGAAGAGAGCCGCTAAACGAAGCTAATCGGCTACGGCCGGCCGTTTATCTAGACGAAATCGCGCTCATTAATACGGGGCCTATTATTACGAGTCCGCAAGAACGGTCGATAAGAAAAATGGCCGATTAAGTAACCGATAAGTCTTTAACGTATCGTACGCTATGCTCGCCGATCGACAACGAGTCGCCACGTACAGGGTGTCCGATGAAAATCGAGGCAAAAATTTGTCCTCGCGGAAAGTAACATCGAAATAACCGTTACTAATATTATTATATATTACTCATGTATCTGTTCAATATATTGATCATCTAAAAATAACAATCGCACTACTATTACAGAAATTTACACCCTGTTTACACCCTAACTCTTCAACACGGTCGTCCCACGACATTCCACGCATAAATCACCGTCACTATAAATAACAGAAAAAAAGGATTGACGGTCGAGGATGACGAACGCTATCAGCTATAATTAACCGGTAAATCATACAGAAACAAGCGAAGCCTTTAAAACGAGGGTTGTGACGTTTGCGAATGAAAAAAAAGAGAAAAAACCTGTCGTTATTCAACCGTAGCGTTCCAGCGCTCAATGTTTACACACGCCCGGATCAATAATTTCATCCCGCATCTGTCATCGCAACGCGCGGACAGGCAACCGCATAATGCAACGAGCGGAAATCCTGTTAACCGACAATTGCGCCGTCGTTTTCAACGGGGATCGTAAAAAATCCTCGTAAACAGTCGATAAACTCGCACGATAGCAGTCATCGCTATTGTTACCGGCGACGAACGGGGAACAATTAAAAGCAAAAAGGGAAGGCGAAGAGCAACATGGAGGAAACGAAGGAAACGACGGAGGAGGAGGAAAAAACTGGAGAAATGACGAGGAATCGAATCTCGATGCAAATGCCATGCGGGACGTCGTTACCGCGGCGACATTGAAAAAGCTGGCGTTCGCGCGACGGAAGTCGTAAAAGGGCAAGAATATCGATGACTCGCGGCCGGCGAAGGGACGCGTCGCGTCGGCGCACGGTGACGTTATCATTCGGCCGCGTATGAGACGCGAAAACAAAGCGACGCCTCCTCCGCCGGCCCCCTCGGGGCACGCACGTACGCTCGGAATGCAAATGACGATTATTGCGCAATCGCGATGGAATTCGAGCGATTCCGGGCACCGAGGACAACGCGAGCGGATCGCGCTCGATTTCTTCATTCATTTCGCCGGCCAAGGATGCTGCCGAGGCTCCGACGCCATTTTTCTGGCGGTCGAAGCGTTAAACGCCGGCCATTGACGACCGATGACGTGGAGTAAGGGTACTTCGCGTTGGAGATGTTGATGCGAATGTTTGAAAGTCTCCTTGACAACGATGGGAATTAAGAAGTATAGCCGACGTTTGGAATTGGAGCAATTCGTAATTGGGTCTTTCGTGATCTCCGTGGTCAACGTTTGTTCGACTCGAAAGTGAGATCAATTTTGAAATTTCGAACTCATCTTCCAAATTGTTACGCTATTGTCGGAGTTGGTTGCAAACTTCTCTGAGGAATTGTGAATTGAATATTTCATTTTTAAGAAACTACTTTTTGGAAGCGTGCTTGATAACGATGGGAATGAATAAGTACAACTAGCGTTTGGAATTGGAGTAATTTGTAATTGGGTCTTTCGCGATCTCCGTGGTCAACGTTTGTTCGACTCAAAAGTGAGATCAATTTTGAAATTTCAAGTTCATCTTCCGAATTGTTGCGCAATTGTCGGAATTATCCAATTTCGTAAACTTCTCTGAGAAATTGTGAATCGAATATTTAACTTTTAAACTGCACTATTTTACCCGTCATTCTTGCGTCCGTAGACAAATTCGTGTTCAGGAAAGTTCCTTTGCAATTTCGATAACGACTGCTCAATTCCAGCGTTAAGGGACGCCGGTGTATGACGTGTCACGATCGCCGCCCGTAAAACGATTCACGATACCCACACGCGTGCACACGTATACACACGTTTCCGCGCGAGTTAGTGGGAGACCAGCCTCAGAAGCGGTCGCCAGTCTGTCTCGGACCAGGAATGGGATTAGAAAGCACGTCAAGTCTTCGTGGGTCACGTCACCCAGATCGAGATTTAGTCCGTGCCTCCGCGTATTACGCCCCGGCCTACAGCGTTCTCCAAAGGGCAATGCCACCGCCGCGACCTTCTCGGAAACAACGATCCGAGAAACTTCGATCGCGATCGGATTATGCCGCGCCGGGGACCGTGGAACAATTCTTTCCCCGAATCGGCACCGTGAAACTCCGATTACAGGATCTGTACTATGTACAGGGTGTTCCGATCCGATCGACTCACCCGGTATACGGTCGTGAATATTATAAACACGGCGACAGCAATGTCCTCGTGACGCATTTGCGTTGACAGTTCGTATATCGGACGGTTAATTAGTTAATCGATGTTGAAAAATTCGAAATTTGCAATTCAAAAATTCAAAATCTGAGAACTCTTAGGCTTAGAAGTTTGAAAACGTTGAACTCCGAAAGTTTGAAAATCGAGTAATTTAAGAAGAAAAGTTTGACAGAAGAATGCTTTTCAGTTTGTTACATAACGCAAATGGATTAAATTCCTAGGGTCCTTTATCTCGTTCGTTGCGAAACGCGGAGAGTAGCGTGAGATTCTATTGAATGTCGTTTCGATACCGCCGTGACAAACGGGACACCCTATACGTGCCGTAACATTCTACAAAATAATTGTAGATCTAACGTTCGATCTACGTATTAGGAATTCAGCTGGGTAGATTTGAACTTTAAGATACGAGTTACAGGCGAGTCTTGGAAATGTACAGGGCGCTTCAAATATCGTGAACAATTCACGCGTTATCGATGTTACCCGTGTGAAATTCTAACTGCTTATTTAAAATCTTAAACGTTACGAATATCGATAGAATTGTTAACATATTCTACTCCCAGTTAACAAAGTCCACTATTCTCCGATTCGCTAACGTATCGCATTCCATTCATCTCTACATTTCAAAATTGTGAATTCCAATCTAACCATGAACTAGTACTCTCATTATTCTATCCATCTGTTCTCTATTATTCATCATATATTATCGAATGTTTTATTAACATCTTTTGGAACATCCTGTAGATCTCAATTCCACGATACAACTAGACCTTTTAGATACATTCCCGGAACGCTCGAACCTCGACAAACGGGAGAGCAGCTACGGTAGAGTGAATCTTTTGGAACGACCTGTAGCAAGGGGTGTTTCCACGGGACTAGTCGGCGCGAATTCCGTAAAAGTCGCGCGTCAGGTCGGCCCCGCTCCATAGAAACGTAATGTTGTACGTGGCGGTTCTGCGGCTCGAGCGCGCGAGAGAGCTCGCAAGGGTCAAAGGTCGGACACGGGCGAATACAGGCGGTCCCAGGCGAGCGAGCACACAGAGACGCGGGCTCGCGCGAGGGCACACCCACTTTAACACGTACCGGAATGCATTCGCATTTGATGCAGTACATGACTCCGAAGGGCGGGCCCAAATCCGCGAACCAGGTGGAGCCCAGTTCCCGTATCTGCTTGCCGAACGTGCATTCTGTAACAGATCCAATTCAATTGTTCAGATTATTATAAATTTTCTCGCTTGCATAAGAACGATATACGCATAAATTACACGAACATTCGATCAACGATGCTAACACGTTAAGTGCCACGAAAATCTTGACCATTTTCCTGTACGGTTACCCTTAGCAAAGGAAAGTAGGAATAATTATTCACTATTTCGCGTTGCAATCTTTGCATTACACTATTATCAACTTCGTTGTGTTATTAAACATTTTCAGATTATCTTGCACGTTACGATTGTCTTCAAGTAATTTGGAAGCGTTAATCATTGGTGACCGACATGGCATTTGACGTGTTACACTGAAGAATGATTACTTTTTGTGAAATAAAGGTTACTTCTTTGTGAGATTCATTATTTTTAGAGTAACAAAGTAATTGTTGTATCTAGGAGTAGATTTCTTAAACGTGTATTTCTGTAGTAACCAGACCATGGATTTATGTTTATTTTCTAAATATCAGAATTTTAACATTGAAGAATTTGTGAACGCGGGAGGGATATCATATTGACGAGCGTTAATGATGTTTCCATTTTGTTCGTTGCCACGAGGAATCTACTAATTAGTGGAATCAATTATTCCACCGGTCGTCTCTCCGCGAAAAATGCAAATCTGCGGGGAAATCGCGAAAGGATTACCCTCGGCGCGGCGAGTCTCTAAAACCGTTCCGGGGAACGGCTTTCCATTTCGTTCGGCTCGAATCGCGCGGCGCGAGATCCCTCTCCTTATCCGGGGAACGGAATAAAAGTGAAACCGCGGAATGAATGAATGAATGGGAAAGACTCTCTCGTCGGGCGAGAGAGCGCGCGGATCGCGTTAAACGGCGCGGCTCTCTGAATCAGCCTGTTGGCGGGATGACTGTGAAACGAAGCGCGCGCGCGCGCGCACCGTCGCCGCCGAAAAATCGCGCGAGACTGCGGTGACGCTGTTTCTTGTAGAAATGAAAAGGAGAAAACTGAGAAATGAAGGAAACAAGGATAAGAGACGAAATGGAGACAGAAGTGAACCCTTTGCGCTCGGAAGGCAACTGTCAGTCACCATTTGATTTAACGCGGTAAAACTCTAAAATCTTAAACTTTGTACAATGCCTTGATACGTGAAATATTGGAATAAAATAGCTTTGTTCCTCGATGTACTCGTGATTTCCCAGGTTGTTTCAAGGAATATCGTCCCAGCCTCGTCAAAGAATGTTAGACACCTCCAGCGAGAAACTTCCGAGCGCAAGGGGTTAAAGGCAAGAGACAGTGTCTCGTAGGAAGCAAAAAGAGAGGTCAAAGAGAAAATTTAAAGAAAGAACGAAAAAGTCGAGTGTCCGACAGAAAACGAAAGAAGGGACTGAGGAAAATGGGAAAAACGAAAAAGTGAGAGAAGAAATCGAGATTCTCTCTCGCAGAAAACAAAAGGCGAGGACGAAGGAAACAGGAGAAACGAAAAAAGGGAGAAGAAGAAATCGAGCGCCGGGGACACGCCGGTTGAAGGGGAAACCGTGCTCGGAGCACTCCGAAAAGAACGTGAAAAATGAAAGAAACAAGGGGAGAACGCTCCATTCTCGCAAGGCCGTTGCCTCGTTTAAAAGTGACGCGGTGTCACCTTCTTCCGCTTTGGAGCGACGCGTCGGGAAGAAAAGGAAGAAAGGGAAAAAGGAAGCGCGGAAAGAATGGGAAAGGGGACGGACGGGGCGGGACGAAAAAAAGAGAAACGGGAGAAAAAGTCGGCCGAATTACTACGTATGACTGCGTCACGCGACGCGTCCTTTCCCTTTTCCGCGTCAAAATAAATGCGCGACGCGGCCGCGCGCTGCCGAAAATAACACGGCCGAGAGGCGCTTTTTTCGGCGTATTATGCGACTCGCGTTTTATACTCTGCTCCGGGGAAAACGGCTGCCATGTATACTCGGCGCGCTGCTCGAATACCGGGTATTACACGGTTCGCGGTCGAGACCGCGGAAACAGAAGGACGGAATTCGGTGAAATGCACATCGATCGCCGGATTTTCATGCATTTATTTGGGGAAGCGCATAGAACGCACGTGACACAAACATTCTATGTGATATACGTGGCACTTTTCATATTTGTTAGAGAAACTAATTTCCTATGGTAATTCTATCTTTTTATATTCTAGAAAGTTTGAATTTACATGTACAGAGCACTGATTGTAAATTTTATTTTCAATCTTTATTATCCTTGAAATAAATTTCTATAATAATTGATAGAATAATAATAATTAACTTGATATATGTTTCTATGAAATCGAGCTAACTGCAAAGGTATCTGAAAAAGTTCTCTAAAGTTTTTACGAAGAATGACTAATACACCATACTTTTTACAGAAAAAAAAGTGTCAGCCCCCTTGAACGCGCCTCCTAAACCTTGGATCATAGAAAGATGATCTTCACCAGTCCCAAATAACCCTTTCTAGAAGCCTCGGAATCCCGGACGGTCCTCTAGAATCGCGATATATTAATAGTCGCCATAGACCCATAAACCAGCTCGAGGCGCCCAAAACATCGGCGCCAGGGCCGTGAACACCTTTGAGAACCAGTCGAAGCCTAATCCCCGGAATCGCGGGGTGGCCGCGTCGTTCGCTGTCCACCAGGAAGTTACAGGTAACCGCTCTAATCCGACGGATTATCTTCGCCGAAAGGTTCCTTCCCGCAGCAGTTTGGCCTGCGGTCGGAGCATTAGTCGGGTAATATATCCACCCGGTTTATTGGACAACAGCGACAGGCTTGATATTCGAAGGGGAGCGTCGCGCGATGCCGCGGCATGCCGGGCGCCTTGCAGCAGAACAGCGAAAGACCCGGTCCCTTTGGCATCTTACGCGCCCGTTCGTATTGCTTCGGCCGCGCGCTCGAAAGTGAAACAGCCAGAGGGGGAGAGAAAAGCGGAGAAAGAGAGGGACGAGTAAAGACGACGAGGACGGGACGGAGAGCGGAGGGAAGCTCGGGAGGAACGGAGAGGAGACGGGACAGAGGGAGAGGAAGACAGGGGCAAAGATAGAGGAAGAAAGAGAAAGAGAAAGGAGGAGGAAAGACACACGGTAATGCTCGTTGCGCGAGGTCGTTGCACCGCGTGTGCTAAGTCGTTCTAAGCGCGGAGTCGGTCCTAAGCAGCCAGGAGAGCACGAGAGAGGAGAGAGAACCCCGGCCACGCCATCGCATCGCAAATATGCGAGTCGAACGCGGCGCGGCGCGTTCTTCCGGCGGGCCCCTGTGTCCCGAGGCGCGCGCTCGCGCGCGCGATACGGATCGAACCGACACGATCGGGAAAATCGAAGACCGCGCCGAGGAAATTGGGTAACCGGGACAGTCGTTCTCGATGAGATTCCACCGATACGCTGGAATCTTTCTGCTGTCCGCGCGTTTCGTACGAGGGCTGTTGCTCGCGAAGTGAGCGAATTTTAATGGTTCACGTAGTTCCTTGCTGTGGTTCACCTTGAAGCGATGCTATAGCTTTCGAGGCGATACTGTAATCCTTAAAGCGATATGTAGTTACCGAACTGTGTAGATTGCAGTATTTTATAGCAGTTTCTGGCTAGTTTCTGAAGCGATACTACAGTTTCGAATAGAATGATGTCTAAAGGAATGATGTTTCTAAGGCAACGCTGTAGTCTTTGAAATAGAGAACTCAGTCGACACGTTTTCTATAGATTTCAAATGTTAATCAATGTTAACCCCTTGCCATACTATAACGCGTGAGACTCGTGGTGAAGGTTTTAAATAGAATGTAGCAAACATAAGTATTACTCAATTACTCTGAGTTATAATTAGATATTATTCTTCTGTTATCAATGATTCTATTGTAGAGCAAACGTAGACATAGGATATACATAGGATTTTTCTATTATTTAATAATTATTAGTGAAGTTGCATCGATCACAGTTGGAAAATAAATCATAGAGCAAGGGGTTAACCATGAGGAATCGAATCCTGATGGAATCCCGTTAGATCGGATGTCCCTGTCGAAGATGAAATGACTCGAGGATGTACCATCAAACGCGAGCGTGTCAATAGGGCAAAATTTCTCGAGGGTTTGCGACGTGGACAAAAGATTGTCGCGGGTTTAATTTCCTCAAACATTTGTTAGAATTCATTTCTATCACCGGCAAGATTATGCTCGCGACAGTAAAGTTTATTTCTCGAGTCATTTCCATTTTTGCACGATAACTTTGGATTTTTCGTTTCGTCCGTCCCAAAGATTAGCCAGTCGTCGACGCAAGGGTTAATTCCAAGTGTTATAGAATCCGGGTACGCGCACGCTCGCTTTCCCGAACGTTAGACCGCTCGGCTAGAGAATGCGCGTGACGTGTTGCTAGAATTTATCGCGCGCCGGTGACCGTCGAATGTGTGTTACACGCGAAATCGCTCGATCGCCGGCGATCTCCCGACAAATTTCGCCCGCTTCCCGCGCCCGTAACCTCCCCCCGGCCCAAGGCCGATAAATCGGCCGCGGGGTATCGCGCGCAGAGGCGCCGAACGAATTAATTCTGACAGTGAGAAATCGAAGTTGGGAGGGAAGCTCGAACGGCTGGCGCGAAGTACTCGCTGTCTACACGGTTTCTCGATCCGATCCGACAGTTCGCCTAATGGACCCCTTGTCCTCCGCTATTTGGAACAGAACGCGGGCAGCCCGAATATTTCGCTTTTCAGAATTTCGGAAATGCAACTTTTCCGCGTCCCCTGGAACGAGGCTTTCAACGTGACGGTGATTTATGATTTTGAAAGGCGAAGTCACTCGAACGTACCCCGTGATTTATAATATTGCGTTAGACCGTGGGACTTGAAGCAGAATTTGATTAATACCAAATTCAACTGTTTCGTGTTTGAATGAAATATTGCTTTTCTGTCGTCAATTTCTGTAGAGTGATTGTGGACGTAGAACACGTAAAGAATTCTTTTCTTCTTTCTAATGAATTTTATAGAATGTAGTTCTATTGAGAGCAGTTGGAAAGAAATAATGGTTAACCGTCTTATGATT